CCTGCTGGAGCCCACCCTGTCAGCTGTCAGCCACCGTGGCTCCTTTGCTTGGGAAGGATCTGCCTCTGTCGAGAACTTCATTGAGCAAGAGGGAATATCAATCTTTTCAATATACTATCGCATCGGGTAAACACTTGTCGAGAAAGCACTTTGGAGACTGGATAGATATCAAATTATACCAACTGCAGGATATGTTTGAGGTATCTGGTCAGGCAGCAATGCATATGGAAAAGGCTATTAAAAGACCAGGTGGGGGAGGGTGCCTCCATGCCTCAGAGCATCACTGGAGCACCCAGGGCTGCATTATTCAAACTTAACTAATTGAATGCTTGGGATAAGCATACATCTCCCTGAATTCTGCTTCTGGGCCTGTCTAGGCTGACAGCCTGAAGGAATATCAAAAAGCACCTCTAAGGGGAAAATGGGCAAATTAAGTTTTAAAAGAAAGAGACTTGAAAATGACTGCTATCTGGAGGCCACAGACAATGAGCAAGAGGTGCCTTTGTGGAGAGGCAGTGGGGGGCAAACACTCAGGGCCCTCAGGCCCTCCAGCCTAGAGGAGGGGACAGGCACTAGGGCAGGTGGTACACAGGTTTGGGACTTGCCGACTTGGATTTGGAACCTCTAGTTGGGACCTGGGGGCTTTCCTAAGCTCTCGGGACCTCGGTTCTTCTAGGAAATGGTGAAGGTAATAATTCTCACAACGGCTTAGATGGGAGTTTCTTCCTATTCCCCAGCACAGGGCCTAATGCATAATAAATGGAAGCCATCTGCTGTGTGCTTGGTGGAGAGATGGAGAGAGAGAAAGTGAGAAACCACCCCCCAGGGGAATGGCCATGCTGTGATCCCTTCTCCTCTTAAGGTTTTGGGCATGCATGCACACACGCCCAGCCTGAGCTTTAGGCCACTGGGTCTGGGACTTGAACCACGGTTGGCCGTATGGGAGTCCAGCATCTTAACCACTATGCCACCTACTGGTCCTTGCAGTTAGGTTTGGGCACTTAGGGTCAGTGGGGGAATTTGGTGGTGGGAAAAGTAGTGGCTTAGGAGATGCCTGTGGGTAGAGGTTTGAGGGAGTCAGCCTGCCTTTCTTTATATCCATCAGCTCCCAAAACTCCCAGCAAATACAATCGGAAATTAATCTGTGCATTTGCTTCTCAAAGGCAGTGTCAAGAGAAGCCTCCCATTGCCTTCTAACCAGATTGCCAGAAGTCTTCCTTCTCTGAACAGACTAGAGGAGTTGACTTCTTTTCCTGGGAAGCGAAGAGCTTGACTTTCTGCTTGAATCACTTCCTTTGACAAGCCCTAGGCGAGTTTCCTTCCACACATGTCAACTCAGCCCCTCCTGTGTGCCTGGTTCTGTGAAAGGTTAAGTGGATGTACAATAGTGAGCAAAATGGAATTCTCTGGGCTTAAAAATGGTGATAGTTCCTGCCCAGCCAAGGTGGTGCAGGAGGTAGGGCACCTCTGCTTCATGCTGGAGCCCCCGGAAGCCCCAGTTTGGGCCCCTGGTCAATGTGAACATGCTGGCTGCATCTGTCATCCTCAACGGAGAGGCTGGGGGACGATTGTGGTGTAGTGAGGCCCTGGCAAGGGTACCTGTCTCTCTCTCTTTTTAAAAAAGATGATGGTTGATGACGAGGTTGGGATCTAGGGGGCTTGGATACTCCACAAAAGAAGCAGCTCATACCCACAGTGCCGGCAAAAAGAGAAAACCACAGAGGGTCTTGGAGACTGCCTGAGACCAAAACATACGACCCACCCTGAAAAACAAACACCTTTTTCTTTTCTTTCTTCTTCTTTTTTTTTTTTTCCTTTTCCTATAGGGTGTAAGCACTCACCAAATTCAGACAGATATAGCGAGGGGATGGGGTGGGGATGAGAAAGCACCCCCCCCAAGGGGGATGGCCACTCCACAATCCCTTCTCCTCTATCCCCCTCTCAGGATTTGGGGCACGCACACACATATGTCCAATTGTATTTTTCAAGCTACCAAGTCCAAGATTTGAACCATGCAGTTGGTCAAGTGGGAACCAGCCCCCTGAACCACGATGCCATCTGCTGGCCCTTAAAAAAATAAATTTTTAGTTTTAAAATAGTTTTAGGTTTACAGAAAAGTTAAGAAGGTGATTAGCGTGGCCGTATCCCCGCCCCAGCTCCTGCCATTGCTAAGCCCTGACATTACTACAGCGCACCTTTCACAGCGAGGGAACCGGGAACCGATGCTGGTCCATTCCTCTTAGGTAAACCCTGCAGCTTAGTGGATCGTATTAGTTTTTACCTCCCTTCTCCTTCTAGGGTTCCTCCCCGGATACCGCATTACATTGTCATCCTGTCCCTT